GATTGAAAACATGCTCTTCTTGGGTGTCTGCCTCTCCTATCCCAGGCCCTCTCTTCTCTGTTTACTTAAGTGACTAGATGACCATTTTCTCCCCTCAAAGGGAACAAGGAGAGAAAGGACAACAGCAAGAACTCAAGTCTCTTGCCTCCCCTTCTAGAGCCCCAGGGCCCACCCTGGGAAGTGAGAGGGCTTAATTCACCCAGCTGCGTGCTGTGGCTCCACACTCTGTCCTGATGGGGAGCTCTGTCCAGGACACTTTCCCCACCAGAGTCCCTTACTCCCACCTTTAGAGTCTAACCATTTCCTCAGCAGAGTCCCAGTTTTCCAGTAAACTCTCTCTAGCTGAGCTGCTAAAGGGTGATTGGATTATCCTGGCCTGCCTCCCTAAAGCTTACCTGCCTTTTCACAGTGGTCTCCATATGCTGTATGTCTTTATGCCAAAAGAATTCTAGGCTTCATGGCAGACATTGCAGAGGGGCCAGGGGCATTTGGGAACAGGCTATGTACTCCCACATTACAAGTCCTAAGATCATTCCCACCATCGTTGGTCTGTAGAATTGACCTGACAGGACCACAATGCTATAAATAAATATGGCCAAGCTGATGCTGTACTTGGTACCTTTGGGGGCCTGGCTCTTTCCTCCTGAAAATTGAATGTAATCCTTGTGATCTCTTACAGATGGCCAATGGCGATTTCAATGCTTGCATCCAAGTCTGTGAATGTAAAGCCCTTAGTGACCCATAGGTTTCCTCTGGAGAATGCGCTGGAGGCCTTTGAAACATCCAGAAAGGGATTGGGTTTGAAAGTCATGATCAAGTGTGACCCTAACAACCAGAATCCCTGATGTTAATTGGGCTCTGCCCTCATTCCCACCCTCTCAGCCTCTCAGGGCTAAATGTCTTGGCAAGGGTGGGCTTTAAGGCAAAAGTTTCTTTTAAGTAGTAAGGATAATTAAAATAATTCATTATAAGCAGAGAGCCTTACACAGAGGAGTTGGCATGCCTTAAAAACACAGGTAGGGATAGCTGGGGGACTTGTAGTCAGAGTGACTGTTTCTGCTGAGCAGAGTCCAGCAAGTGGAGCAGTGTCTGGCGGGCAGGCGCTGGGAATTCCCCTCCTTCCGGGAGTGCCTGAGTTAAGCGAGGGCAGAAACCTGCCCATGCCCATGGAGTTCCTGGTTCCACCGAGACTGTGGCCGGGGGG